GGTAAATGGTGGCAGCAATAGCAGTGCAATTAGGGAGAAAAGGGGAGATATTGCCCGATGCCTTTGAGTACAATTTAAAGTGTGATGACGATGATATCCGTTGCTTTTGCCGCTGCTGCTACACTAACGGATGAACTGCTTTATTATTAGCAATTGCGCAATCAGTTTTCCTGATTCTAATGATCAGCTCCTTCAGCTGCAGGAGTTTTGCGGCAGCGGAGATCGACCACCATCGGCTAATAAATTGCCCTTTCTCGTTTACTCTCACTCTCATCTCGGTGATCATGGTCGTCGTCGGAGCTGCAGCCGCCGCCGCCGCACACGGCGCACTTGATTCGATCAATAAAAGGCAAAGGAAGCACTTTACTGAAGGAGGAGAGAATGACTGCTGTTGCTGATGCTGCTGCTGTTTATGGGTTTCAATCGGGGTTCGATTCGCGTGTTTGTGTGTCTGCCTGCCTGTGTGTTTGTTATGGTTACTGGGCGGCAGAGAGGGCCACAATTAGTCGAATGGTTGTGATGCTCTCTAATGGTAATTAAAGCAGTCAAAGTCGAAGAAGACCAAGAAGAAGGAGAAGTGTCTGTGTGTGCGTCTGAAAAGAGCCTTTCTTACTGGCAGTACTGTTCAGTGGGCAATCAAAACATTGGCACCGTCGATGGAGATTAATGAGCGATTGGTGGGGATTCTACTGAAACAGTAGGCTAAGGCAGCAGTTGGGGAAAATTGTCCATTTCCCATTTGAAGTGTTGTTGCTGCTGCTGTGGCAGTCATCACATCCGATAGACCGGACACCCTGTTGCTCCCTCCTCTTTCTCACTACTTTACATTTCATTTTTCATCTCTCGTTTGTCTCAATTGAGACAATTCCCTGCACCGACTTTTGAGCCGCTCTCATTTGTCCTGGTCACACTTTCTCACTCACTCACACAATGGAATGAATATGAATACGCCATTGAAGACAATTGAGACCTAATCTTCTTATTCTCACTACCAATTGACAAGTGGCTCAATTTGCGAGGCACATGGAAATCATTAATCTTCACTACAGGAACGACAAACAAACAAACAAGCAAGCAAATGCTTGACGTCTCAATTGTGGTGATAAGAAGGAAAACTCAAACTCAAACTTAAAAGACACATACCTGAAACCAGACCTTGACTTGGGCATCAGTCAACCCCAGTGACTCGGCTAGATTGCGGCGATCAGGCTTGGTGATGTACTTCTGCAGGAGGAAGCGCTTCTCCAGGCCTCGGCGCTGGCTGTTGCTGAAAACGGCACGCGACCAGGAACGCTTGCCCTTCTTCTCCGACGGCTGGTGATGACCATTGCTACTGCTGCTTCTATTTTGGCTGTTGTGACTGTTGCCTGACTGTGACTGCTGCTGCTGCTGAGGGTGATGGGGATGGGGGTGGTGGACACTGGCCAAACTAGTGGAGGATATCTGCGGCTGTAAGGCCTTGTGAATTGCTGGGTTGATGTGCTGTTCGCGAAGGGCAATCAGGTGTTCACCATGGGGCATCAGCGCCTTTCTGTTGTTGGCCAGCAGCATCTGCTGCTGGGCCATCGCCAGGCTGTGTCCTGCTCCAGCTCCAATAGCACTCTGTCCCTGTCCGGTCATGCTCATCAGTGTGGAGTAGTTCGGGTAGAAGCCGCCGCTGCTGCCGTGGCTGTACGGCACTCCGCCGTACTGCTGTCCCAGCTGGTGGTAGGCACTGCTCAGACAGGACTCGATGGTGGGCGCCATCAAAGTGCTGCTACTGCTGTTGGCCTTGTCTTGGTCGTAGGGAATGAAAACTGCTGTACCAGAGAAAATGGAAGGTTGAGTTTGGTTGTTAAAAAGTGAATGTTTTTAATCTGGTCATCTAATTCAAGTCATAGTAGTCAACAAGTCTACTTACTCTCAAACAATGGGTTTTTGCTAAGCGAACCGACATGTGCTCTAGAAGCAGCAGCAGTAGCAGCCCCAAGAGCATCGTAGCCAGTGGGCGNCCGCCGTACTGCTGTCCCAGCTGGTGGTAGGCACTGCTCAGACAGGACTCGATGGTGGGCGCCATCAAAGTGCTGCTACTGCTGTTGGCCTTGTCTTGGTCGTAGGGAATGAAAACTGCTGTACCAGAGAAAATGGAAGGTTGAGTTTGGTTGTTAAAAAGTGAATGTTTTTAATCTGGTCATCTAATTCAAGTCATAGTAGTCAACAAGTCTACTTACTCTCAAACAATGGGTTTTTGCTAAGCGAACCGACATGTGCTCTAGAAGCAGCAGCAGTAGCAGCCCCAAGAGCATCGTAGCCAGTGGGCGTCGGCGGCCAAGTGCCAGCCAAGTTTGGCAACTGCTGACCAGGCTGAAGTTGGCTCTGCCCGGCAGAGCTGGGTGTTGTTGCTGCAGTGAGGTTACCCCCACCACCAGTACTTCCGCCCAGTGAGGCGTAGTACTGGTACAGCGAGGAGAGTGATGGCTGCTGCTGTTGCAGCTGCTGATTGACAGCAACAGTGGATGCCGTAGTAGCCGCAGTCGTCGATCGCACAGTTGGTGGCAGCTCATGCTGTTGCTGCTGTTGATGATGGCCAAAATTGGATAGCTCGGAAGTGCTGCCGCTGCCATTGCCACCACCATTGTTGTACAGGTTGTCGCTGTAGGCCTTTGTGGCAGCGTAGATTTCGTAGGGACTGAGATTGGTAAGGTGGGAGAGATTTGCGCCCGGTGGATCTAGTGCTGAAGAGGATGAAGAAGATGAGGAAGAAGAAGAAGAAGTAGTTCGCTTGTTGGCATGCTTGGTAGTGTCACTTCCCCCACCACCTGTAGACTGCTGCATCGGTCTCTGGACAATCTCAAAAGCTGACATTAGGGAAGCTTTGTTTGATAAATAAAGTTAGTTGAGGAAGATTGGTGCAAAAAGATTTCACTTACGATCAAGTGCCGACTTTAGGTCAGTGCTCAGTCGGAGGATGGTCTCCATGCCGAAGTTTAGCTGTTTTCCCGGTGGAGCTTTCTTTTCCGAGCCGGAGCTGTTCTGCTGTTCAGAGCGATCATTGTTACTGTTTGCTCTTTTAAACGGCGGCTTTTTTAAAACATCAGCAGTCCTGATCGTAGTCGCCGATGATTCTGATTCGTTTGAATCGACGTTTGTAGTTGTATTCATACTTGAGGGGGTGGTGGAGGAGGCAAGGCGGAGTGTTCTGTCGTCAGCATCCATGGCACTGTTTAATCACAACAGTTGGTGAGGGTTGTGGAGGTGAGGTAGAACCACTGATTAGGGGCAATTAATTAACACAATGTGTTTATTAGCTCAGTGCAACGGTAGTTTTGCGGTAACAATGCTGCTGTTGCTGCTGCTGGTGTTTAGTAATCGAACAGCTTTCTGTCACCTTCGATGCTTTTGTTGTTGCTTTTTGTTACTGCTGATTATCTGTCACTGGGGATGAACAAGAGCAAAAGCAGCTGAAGCAGTTTTACATTGGAAAAAGAAGAAGACAAGTCAACTTTCGTCGATGGCGGCTCATCACCTAATGAGCGCGCTTCATTTCGACTTTGTTGCAAGCACTCTCTCTCCTTCTTTTACTGCCTTCTAACTACTTGGTCGCTTTGGCCCTTAGACGACGACGGCGACCACCTCTTTCAAAGTGGAAGCAGCAGTATTTCACTTGGTTCACCATCATCACCACCAGC